GCCCGGGGACAAAGTGAGCGGGAGGCGGAGAGATGTGCAGCCGCAGAGATGGAGGGAGAGAGACCGGGAGGCGGGGGCGCCCTGCTGGCCAGGGCAGGGGTCGGGCTGGGGACAGACCCTCCATGTAGGTGTCCCCCCGCCTCTGAGCCACAGCCCCACCCCGAGCACAGCATGCACTTGGAGAAGGGGTTTGAGGGAGCCAAGGTTGGGATGATCACGTGGGCACAGGGTCCCCTCTCCCAGGCTCTGGAGGAGAGGGGGGGAGGGTTTTAGGGTCCCTGGAGCCCAGGAAGCATGCCCAGATGTCTGCGACCCTGCGACCCAGGCCAACTCAGCCAGGAGGGTCTTTGTGGAACCCCTGCAGGGGGTGCATGGAGGCCCCGCCGTCGTTGGCCATGCTCCTCACCTGGGCCCGGGAGGCGCCTCATCTCTGGGGAGGGGACCCCAGGGCTCCGGGTGCTGCCCCAGGAGGCAGTGTGTCCAGGCGCCCCTGCAGCAGGGGTGCCCTGGGCCAGGTCCTCTCCGGAGGTGGGGTCCCAGGTCCAGGCGGGGTAGTCCTCCTCGTCGGCGTGGCCTTGGGAGAAATCGGGAGAGGTCTGGCCCTGTCTGGCCTCGGAGGTGCCCCTGCAGAGTCTCCCGGGGCGCCCGCCGCCCCAGTACCAGTGCAGGTCAGCACTACGTCCTCCTCGTGGCCGCAGTTGTGCTGTCCCCAGGGCCCTGCGGGGCAGTCGCTCAGCGAGGCCTCCGTCCCTTTGCAGCCCACGTCGTCCAGCCAGATGGGCCCGGTCCCCGGACCGTAGTGGGTTTTGCCCACGCGGGGCCGGACGCGTCCACAGCCCAGCTCCCCGCAGGCCACGGTGCTGTCCCGCAGGTCCCACTTGTCATCGCACACTGTCCCCCAGAGTCCAGCGTGCCACACCTCCAGCCGGCCGGCACACCGGTTAGGCCCATCGGCCAGACGAACCCGGAAGGGGCCTGCAGTGGGAGGCCCCGGGTCAGGAGGGGTCACCTGGGGTCAGCCTCGCCCCTTCACGTGCCCTCCACTCACCTGATCCCCCCGGGGAGCCCCCGGTGGGGGAGGGGGCTGGGTCTTTGGATGACACTGAAGGGCCTTCCGCTGGGGTCTTGGCTGATGGCTCCACCGGGGACAGAGAGGTTACCTCTCCAGGATCTTGAGTGGTCGTCATTGTCATAGTCTTAGAGGTTCGCTCCCAGGGGGTTCGGGGGGTCGGCGTTGTGCTGGTATGTGAGGTCAGCTTGCGGGGGGCCTCGGTGGTCAGGGCTGCGGTGGTCTGGGAGGTCAGTTCAGGGGGGCCCCGTGTGCCTGGGCTCCTGGAGTGTTTAGTGGTCGGCGTCCTGGGGGCCGGAGTGGCCGGCCTCTTTGGGTGCTTGGTCACCCACTTCTTGGTGCTCTTGGGCATCTTCCCGGGGGCCTGGGTGGTTCTCTCGGGGGCAGTGGAGCTCAGCCCTGCGGGGGGCTTGGTGGCCGGCTCCCCCGGGAGCCAGTCGTCCGGGTCTCTGCCCAGGTCGGGGAGCCAGCTCCAGCTGAAGGGGTCTGCGATGGAGTCCAGGCCGGGGGTCCCTGGAAGGAGGAAGGGAAGACGGGGGCGTGGCAGACCTCAAGGTGTCAAGGTTGTCCACCATGCCCCGCCTTTCCTCTCCTCTCCCCTCCCCAGTCAGTCACCAGGCTCCCATTCATTCATTCATCCATTCATTCTCTTATTTTCCTTTTCATATTTTTTTAAAATATATTTGTATTGATTTCAGAGAGGAAGGGAGAGGGAGGGAGTTTCCTGCCTTGGACCTTCCTCTGGCTTCTCTCCCTGTCCCCATGCCCTCCGTCCCCTTCCTCTCATCTGGGGGAGGACGAAGCTCGCTCTGTGTGGGAGACCTCCCTGACTCGGACAACTCTGCCACTTGGTTGCTGTGTGACCTTGGGCTAGTTACTCAACCACTCTGTGCTTCAGAATCTTCATCAGTAAAACCAGACATAGCACCCTCCAACCCGGCCTTACTGTGAGGTGTGAATGCAGTCACGGTGAGAAAACACCCAGCCCAGGGCGTGGGCACAGGGGGCAGGTGCTCCGTGGCCATTAATGTGGATGCTAGTTCCTGCTCCCTCCTCCAAGCAGCCCTCCAGGA